AAAGCGCTCAGGCTTGGTGTGTACGTGCCTCCTATTGTATATACTCAATGGTGCGGTGGCCGGCCGCTAGCAGCGACAACAGGCAGGATGGCTGACTAGCTGGCTGACTGGTTGATAAGCACGGGTGAGCGGCAAGGCGGGGAACAAACCGCTCAGGCAGGCAAGCAGAAAAAATCAACTCGGGAGCAAACCACCACCGCGAGTATAAATAAGCGGCTCGTTCAGCCGGTTTGGCATAGTAGCTTCGAAACACTGCAGAGGTACACATCAAAAAACGGAAAGGTAGAAACTGAGTATAAATTTAAAGAAGCGAGTCAAATAGATACTTATTTGTAGAAAGTGTGAAGAACGTGAGTTTCATTCAAAGCAAAGCAAGCAGTAAAATTAACAACAACAAAATTGTTTCAAGAAGAATTCTATCTATGCGAATAAGTTACGTTCTAGTACTTATTTTTTTTTATAAAAAGAATAAACGCAGAAGGAACTCTGTAATTTTAAAAAATTTAAAATTTTATGAAAACAAAAAATTGCCATCTCAAGCAAACAAATCTTATTGAAAAAAAGCTGAAACGGACCAACGCCATTTAAGTGATAATTTAACTATATAGCAGAATCAAGTGCTGTGATTTCAAACTACAAAAACGGTTAATTCAACAAAAAAATAAAAATTAACTAAAACGGCATTGGAAAGCAACCATAAACGCTAAGTTTCCGATGCAGCAACAGCAGCAAGCAATTCAACAACTTAATACAAAACGGAAATTCAGCAAATTGTGATATAGCAACAAAGGCAGATCGAAGTTAAAGCAGAGCAAGAACTTTTTCAAAAATCATTAAGAATATTTTTGAAAAAAATCCAAGAACTGAACCTAAGCGTTCTAAGTGATATATATACATATAACCAGTGTGATTTCGACTGAAACTTACCTCCAGTCGAAATAATCGGGAGAAGTGTGAAGCCAACAAGCAGCGCTACCACCGAAAGCAATTTTGTATAAAACAAAAAAATAAATAAATAATAATTCTGCAAATACATTTTTATTTACAAATAATTTAAATGAAAATGGAAGTACTTGCGGTGCAACAACAATATCAATCTAAGTATAATATATACGGGTCCAGTAAAGTAAGAGGTAAGTTGAGACAAAGAATGAGACAATTTTTAGTTTACTTAGAATTCGGAAAAATGCGGAAAATTCAGTTAGCAGCAATGAAAAGAAGAAATGCTAAATAGATTTCTTGGGAAAAAGTAAGAAAGTAGAAATACATATAAAAATACTTGTTTTTTGCATGATTGGAAATTAAGAAAATATCTCTATAGAGAATTGTAGCTGAATTTTCTGGAAATTTTTCCGTACTTTCTTATATACATACATTAAAATAAAAGCCAGCAAAGTAAAGGTGCTCAGTGTTAAAAAAAAAATTATTGAAACTGAATTTTTTGTGTTCAAACCTTTTTAATATCAGAGATTTGTAATTTTTGAGCTTTCCTTTTAAATTAGATATGTATGATTTTAAAAGTTATCTAAACTTTTATAGCTTAGGATTTGTTACTTTTTTGGGGCTTTATACTACTTTTTTTTTAATTTCGAAATGTTACAATTTTGAAATTTTTTAGAATGTACTTTTTTAAGAAAATTTAATTTAAACACATTTTGTGCATTTAATGATTACTTTTGAAAAATCTCCATTTTTGAAAATATTTTTTAATTAAATAAATTTTTAGAATTTTAAAATCATGAAAATTTTTGCATTTGTTTTAGTTCCGAAAACCTTTTCTGCAAGGTTTACATTATTATGTAGTTTTCAACAAAACATTTTTAAAGACACAATTTTAAATTGCATTCAAATTTTTGGCATGTAAATGCAAGCAGATTGCACACTTGACACTTTTTCCCACTGAACTAATTAATTTCGGACCCTTCCAATTATGTTTTCGTAAACAATTTGCAAAATCTTACGGTTTTGCACAAAAGAGCCACAAAAAAATAATAGCAAATGAATTGCAACAAAGCAAAAAAAAGAGTATCTATTAGATGCACACATAGCGGTTTCAAGTGGGCGCACATACAGTTCACCGTCGACGCCGCCAATCAGCCATTCACCCCTTCGCACTCATTCACTCGCCGTGTGACGGGCGTTGCGTTGCGTTACGCACGAGCATTTTGTGCAAGTCGCCTGCTGGCCCAGCTCATACATAAGTACATACATACATACATACATATGCACACACATATGTAATGCGCTGTTCAAGTAAACAAGCTGCAATAACAGCAACAACAAGCCGCACATAACGATAATCAACGTATGTATTTTGTAATTTTTTTTTCCTCTTCGGTTTTACAATTTTTATTTTTCCAACGTTTGTTGTTACCAAGCGGCTGCACAAAAGCAAAGCAAATCAACGCAAGTGATGTAGCACATGTTCGTTAGATAGTTGTTGGCATTGCGGGTGATCGAGGGGTGGATTAACGGACAAATACATATATGTACATATGTATGCATGTGCAGCGCAAGCGAGCTGAAAACGAACGACAGCCATGACGATGTTTGTCGATGGCGATGGTGGTGGTGCAGACGTTGGTGGTGGTAACGGTGCCTCGGCTGCTGGCTGTTGCCATGCATGTATGCGAGTGTGTGCTCACCCACTTTACACTTTGCAGCGTATTTTCTCATAAAGATATGCTGCCTGCTCTTCGGCGGCCGCTGTTAGTGCGGCGTTTGCTTTCGTGTTTGCGCTGCCATAAGCAAGTGCCTGTGTGTGTGTGTGTGTGTGTGTGTGAGTGTGTGCCCGTTTCCATGCCACACGAATATTCTAGAAAATTGATTTGCCTGTTTATTGTTTTAGTGTGTTAGTTTTTGTTGTTTTTTTTTTCTTTTCAATTCTTTATCTCCATTTACTTTGGCTGTAAGAAAAATAAACTTAGCGGCATTGCATGCATACTTAGCTTAAATACATATTTACACACCTTTATCAACATTTTACTAATCTCACTTCATTTTTGTTTCTTTCTCTTTTCACCTACAGATTGGACCAGCACATTATCGCCGCTCTTACCGCTCTCGTCATGCGCCTGCATCGACGCAGAGCCCGAGGTGGCTGTCAATCCACAGCCCACGGCCAGCATACCCATACCATATCTGCAGAATCAACAGAATTATCATATTAGCAACAACAACAATAACAATTATAACAACAACAACAACAATACCACAGTTAACAATAAAAATTTGAAAAACAGTATTATGCATCATAATAATAAGAAAACCAAACGCACAGCAAGCACTGAAGAGCTGCTGGCGGTGCCTGAGGTGATGATTGCCCCACCGTCGTCGAAGGAAGTGAAGAAGACGCCTGCGGGCCGTGTGGCCTCGGCACCTACCCCCTTCACCATCAGCCCATCTACGACTCCAGCCACCTTCAACGGCACCACCACAACCACTGAAACTCCAATCGTGGGCGGTAGCTACCTCACCATCCAGCACACACCCTCCCAGCATCCCTCAGCAAATCTCTTCAACTGTGATGATATCGATGCAGCAGCCGTTGATGATCTCTCACTGCGCCTGTTGGATGAGTTGCGTGCGGCCAAGCAGCGCCATCTCACCTGCACCGAAGTCTCCCTACCCTGTGATCTCACGCAGCGCATTGCCGCCGAAATAATACGAGTTTCGGAAAAGGAACCCTGCGGCATACGCGGCTGCACCATCTACATCGAATTCGAAGATGAACCGAATAATTCACGACGCATCGCCGAACTCAAATTGGATCCCGAAATGGTATCCACTTTCGAGATCTATCTCACACTGCGTCAAGATCATCGCGGCTGGACCTCATTGCTGCCACAATTCATGAAGAGTCTTGCACGCACAATCACCATCAGCCCAACATTCACAATCACCAAACACAAACTCTACTCACCGGATCGCACCAGTTACAGTTATAATGGCAGTGCGTCCGCAGCGATCTCAACGCAAACATCGTGAATTGCAAACGTTGACAAGGGAGACGATGACGTCGGCCGCTGCGTTAAGCATTCGTTGCGACAGCTCAGTTCAATGAGTTGGTGGCATGAGCGGCGGCAACGGCGATGGCGGCGTCAACGAGACGAGCGAAATAGTGAGATGTCTGAATTGCGTGAATGTGGAGGCTGAGGCTGAAGCTGTTGACGGTTGATGGAAGCTGAAGGCGTCTGCGTTGTCAGTGCAGTTAACGACGATCGTTCAGCATTCGTCGTGTGGAGCACGACGATCTTTAAGGAAGTGGTTTTTGAGGGAGAGGAGTTTACGAGCCGACCATAACGAACGATTTGCTTTAAATATATGATATGATAACTGCTGCTCGACGATAAGACGACCTCGAAAAGATGAAGATGAAGATCGAACGTTCGAAATCGTGTAAGATGTTGAAGACGTGTTATTAAGTTAAGCATGTTTTTTTAACTATCTATTATTGCGTAATGCAAGAAGAGAAGTGTATTCGAAGCAACCCCACCTACATACATACAAACATACAGACAGACACACATACAGACACAAACACAGTAAAAATAATTTACTTACAGTATAAGCGAGGTCTAGTAGGGCCTGCTGCCACGACATTTTCCACTTTCACTTTTCACTTTTACTTTTTCGTTTCATAAAACACACCACACATACAAACGCAAATATACATACATACTACATGCTACATAGGTATGTAGGTTTATCTCATTTAATGACGTATGAAACAAAGTATCTTTCAATTTGAAACAAAAATGAACTCGTTAGTTTTTAGTAAAGCGAATACGCGCCCACGAATGATCTGCATACATATTTAAAAGAAAAAAATAAAAAAATAAATTTTAATAATAATGTGTACTAAAAGTTTTAAAAATTTTATTTTTACGTTTATTTTTTAATTTTTTGTAACAAATTTCTGTGAATGCAGTGAATGAACGTTTAGTAGTAGCGTTTAAGTCAATTGTCTTGATGATTGATTGATTGATAGATTTTTGAAATTCAAAAGCAAGCAAAATTGCAGTTAATGCGAGCGGAAGTAGCAGTTGAAGAAGAAGAGGAGGCGAAATTAAAGAAAATACATGAAATTTTAAGATTTCAACGGCTGCCGCGGCGAACAGCGGGCACACCAACACCATCGCCACCCCCAAAAGCGGCCCACACAAGCTTATATTTGCCAATACGCTGCATATGTGTGCTTGTGTGTGTGGTAGAGCGACGGAGGAAAGGGGTTGTGTGGCAGTGAAGCTAAGAGTGGTGTGCCCGCCCCCAACGCACGGCAGCTAAAATCTCAAACTCATGAAAATGTGATAACACTTTAAGATGCTAAGATTTTTTTTTTAAATTAAGATTACGATGAAGTATAATAGGTGGAGAAGAGTAGCAGTTAAAAAAGCAAGAAGACGAAAAAAATATAAAAATTAATAATTGATGTAGTTTGTGTGAAAACTTTTTTTCAAATGAAATCGAGCAAGAGAAAAAAAAAACAAAAATTACTTTAAAAAGCTGAACAAAAATTTGGCGTTAAAAAACTTTGTGTGAAAAATTTTGCAAAAAATTTGTAAAACTGTAAAAAATTTTGTGGGAGAAGCAACATATGCGATATTGAGTAAAATTCAAATAAAAAAAACTAAAAACAAAAAATATTTGAAATCTTAAATTGTGTTTCAAATGTAACAAAAACTAGTATTAACAAATTCCCAAAAAAATTAAATCCAAAAAAAAACAAATTGAAAAACTTTAGTAACTACATAAAAACTTAAGATTTTTTCAAGTAAATTAAATTCCAAAAAAAAACCAACAACAATAATTTAGTAATAATTTCAAATCAAAAACAATCAAGCTCACACACACCTACAGAAGCGTACATACCTAAAAGGAAAACAGCTAAAATATGAAATAGCCTATTTCCAAAAACCAAAAATTTAACAAAAATACTGTGCATAGCAGTAAACAATAAATAGCACCAGCAAAAACAAATGCAACTTTCTATAAACAATAAACAAAACAACATTTATATTAGTATGGCACAAAACTAAAACTGCAAGTGAACATTTAACATTTTAGCCCGCAAAAATAATGGCAATAAATTCATGTTAGCAACAACAAAACCAAACAAGCTTGAAAATCAAAATGACAGCAAAATACAAAAAGCAAAAAAACAAAAACAAAAGAAAACTAAAATAGCCTATATCTACTCATTGTGTAACCGTCATTAGGTATGTATGTACATAGCTAGTAACTGCAGTTATGCAGCCGTAATATCTTATTTGGCATACATATTAATTACAATTACAACAGTAAAAACAAGTGAAAAATTAATTAAATTTGAAATGAAATCAACAAACAAACAAACCCTGTGCATGTATTAATTTTTTTATTATTAGATACTACTATTACCACTATTACTATTATTATTGTACTATTATTATTACTATTATTACAAAAACAAAGAATGATTGTATTAATGTTAAGTTTTTTTCTAATTACAAATTATGTATGCATTCAAGCAAGCATATTATGTATATGTATTTAAACTATAACGACTAAAACAACAACAACAACAACAAATTGTGTAACGATCAACAACTACACACACTACATTTTTACATACAAAACGCCGTTAAAGGTGCGTTAAATTTTTTCAAAACAAAAAAAAAAACATAAAAAAGCACAACACAAAAAAAAAATACAAAACAAAAAAGAACTGAATACAGCTAATGTTGCCAGATTAAAAGTAAAAAAATTACAAACAAACAAATGCATCAAAAATCCACAAATAAAGTGAAAAAATACTTTTTTGTAAAAATAAATTTGCTGACTTTTGAATTTTTGCGCTCAAAGAGGGAAAAGTGGGCAGGTAGAGTGTTGGGGAAAGAAGGCGAAATAGATAAGAAGAAGAGGAAATTTGTAAGTAACTTGTTCCAAAACTAATTGACTTTAGCTGATGCTACTTGGCTTTGCTTTCTTTGCTGAATCGTTCGTTACGTTCCAGGTGTGTACTTTCCTTTTTCCGATGGATTTATTAGGAAACTATTCATTTTGAGTGGAACATAAAAGCCACATAAATCTGGATAAATTTGAATGATGGTCCCCGATGTGGGTTGGCATGGGCCTGCAACACAAGAAAATATCTAGCGGGGTCTAATTGCACAATCTTGGTAGCCAATTCAAGTCACCTTTGCGAGAGGTAACTATACAACCCCAAAAATGTTTGGGCTGAAAATGGATATATGTATACTGGCGCACAGTGCGTGGTGCAATGGTGATAGACTGAAAAATAAATTATAGGCTAGACAGACGCCACCAACACAACATCGCCGTATGAGACTGCAAACGAAAAACGTGGAGCAATGCAACCACGGTTCGCTTACCATCTGGCAACGCAACTGGAATGAAAATTTGTATTACGAATCGCAACTATCGTTAATTGCTGTAGAGTTATCGATAATCGAAATTTGACAGTTCGGCAACCAGCAAGCGTCTGTAAACGAGCTGTGTGAGTAAAATTATATTATTGCAATAAAGTTTTAAAGAAAAGACAGCAATAAAGCTAAAGTCATCATAATTATCTGTTTAAGAGGAAGAGAAGTGCATGAATGCGGCCTCAATCAGGCGACACTTAAAGGATAATTCCAATGCTCTAGTGCTACCGCGTGTGTTCATTTTGAAAGCATATTGAGGACTTCCAAAAGAAGCTGTAGTATAATTGGTTATTAAAACGAAGGAACCACTTCGTTCAACTGCAATACTTCCGCTCATAAAAGCTTACGCACCTCTCCGAGATTTTTCGTGGAAGGAAGTGCCAAAGCAAAGACTTCAATTTGGAAAACATGGTGTGTCGGTAGTTTTAAAAGAGGCAAGTTTTCGCTTTTGTTTCGCCAATAGGGCGTACTCCACTAAACTAAAATATATGACAAACTTTTCAATTTTCGCTCCTAAATAGGCTCTAAAAACCTTCCCAGCAACCACAACAATGTAGTTGCCTATATACACACCATGTAGCAACTGCAGTTGTCAGTTGAAAGTTCCCAGTTGCCATCTGTAATATCGTTTTGGCAACTAGCAACGCAACTGAAGTCCGCTTGCTATCGATAATCGACAATAGTCAAAATACAGAGAAAGTTCAAATTTTAGATCAATTTTAAGCGGTCGTTATTCATATACCCACATTTCTTTCATTTTTCAACATAATAAATAAATAACTAGAGCTTTTTTAAAAACTTGCCACAGATAGATCGACGCAAATTTAATTATCTCTTATTAAAAAAAGAAAGAAACTTGAAATCGGTTAAAATTTGGGCTCTCAAAATTGATTTGTCCACAGCAACCTTTTTTGCCCCACTGTGTGCCGCCCAGTTCGTTGAACAAACACAAAGCACTGGATCCAGCAGCATTTCACAGCCAGCACATGTAAAAACGTGGACGATATTTCTTATGTCAGTATGACATTAGCGCAAACCAACAATCTGCCAAACGCGGAATGTGAAACAAATTTTTAGGCAAATAAAATAATAATATGTAATATGTGTTAAATGTGAAGAAGAGCAAATGAAAAATCTAAATAATTAACAATAAACCAGCTCGAAATATTTTCTTTAATCCAAAATACCATTAAGTTTCGCAGGGTTCAAAAATTACCCTAAGGATAAATTAGGTTTGTAATTTAAGGGACTAATGAGGGATAAGTATTCTAAGTATAACTATTCACAAAAGAAAACCATATGAACAACCGAGGTGAATTAAGCGTCAGAAGAAGCTAAGGATCTTAGGAGTAGTTTCTATAAAAACAGTTTAAATCAGGGATGGGCGAAATCAGGAAAATTGATAATTGAATTAAAAAGAAAGAAAGTTTCATTCATCATTCAAGTAATTTCGAATCAAAGATAAATTTGCATCACGCGGTTTTCAAAAAGAAACAAAACGCATTTAGTTTAATGTTTTGGTCAAGAATTTAGCTTTGCTCAAAGATAAGGGTTTGCCGTTTATGTTTTAAAAACGATTTCGGGCAAGTGACCGCTGCAGCTGGCTCGAATATATTCCAGCCGAGAGGCCCAATTTTGGGCGACGTTTTGCGGAAATTGGGGCCGTATTTCAGCAATAACGCGCCGAATGTTCTCTTCCAAGGCGTCAATCGTCTCGGGCTTATCTAGGGATGTTCCGATACAAGTAAATACGAGTATGTACTCGATACTTTTGTTTCGATACCAACTACTTTTTTTACTCGAATCGTTGTTTCGATACCTACTTGGTATCGAAAGAAAAGTACATGTATCGAATAGATTTGAGAAAGTGCCATATCCTGTCAATAATATTTTTTCTATGGAAAATAGTTACTTCGTTTTCATAAAACAAAAATGTTTTAAGCAATTACACCGCCAAATTATAAAGTGTGGATATATTTTTACAAAGTTAGTGATACCACAACAAAGTGTAAGCAATCTCTATAGCCGTAAAGTTTTGTGGGATCCTTTCAAAGGTTGAATTTTTTGTCTAAGTAATCGTATTACTTTAAGTGCTACTAAAGAAGAAATATACATATCGATACCTCAACTGCAAATATATAGAAAATATTTGAGATAGGGCGTTTTTGAACCGAATTCTGAAACAGGGTGTGAGGTTTTCTGAGATAGGGCGTTTTCCAATCTAATTCTGAAATAGGGCGCTTTTGAAAAGTTTTCTGAGATAGGTCGTTTTCGAACTTTCTTCCGAGATAGGTCGATCTTCCACTCAGGTGCCGCAAAGCTTTATGTCACAGAAAACGCCTGAAAATTACTTTCGCTTTGTTGAATTTAAGAGGATGAAAAATTATCGATATAAGTCGATACCTATCGATACATTCGCTTGACTCATATAAGTAGTATTGAAATAGCCTTTTGAGTAAACTCATTTGAGTAGGTATCGATACTTTGATGGTATTGGAACTTCACATAACCCCATAAAAAATAGTCCAGAGGTGTTAAATCGCACGATCTTGGAGGCCATGCCCCAGGCCCACGACGTGAGATAATGCCCTCACCAAAAGTTTCCTTCAATTAATTGATTGTTACGTTGGCTGTATGGCATGTAGCGCCGTCTTGTTGGAACCAAAGGTCGCCCACATCAACATCTCCATCCAATTCAAGCACGAAAAAGTCATTAATCATAGCTCTATAGCATTCCCCATTGGCTGTAACATTATGGCCGGCTTCATATTTGAAGAAATATGAACGAATGATTCCCTCATAGCACACCAAACAACGACTTTTTGAGAATGTAACGGCGTCTCAACAATGGCTTGTGGATTATAATTACTCCAAATGCGACAAATTTGTGTGAAACCGATCCATGGTTGCTCGAATTACCGACTCTGCTGGGCGATTATGTCGACCGAATATGCGTAGCGCGTACCGAATCATTATTTTGGTAATAAATTTGCACGATTTGCAAACGTTGTTCCGGAGTAAGTCTGTTCATTATGAAATGGCAAACCAAACTCAGTATAAATCAAGTAACAGTTTTCGAGGTATCCGTATGAAATTTGGTAGATGAGTGTATTTTCATAATGCATTAATCATTTGTCGGATCCCAAAGAATCAGACCACTATAACATATAGCTTCCATACAACGGATTGTTCAGATATACGATTTTTTGTTATAACTTATCCATTTATACAGCTAGGAACATGAAACTACGCCCTATTTTCAATCATTATCAACAGAAAATTTACAGTAAAATGAACAAAGATCGGGTCACTACTATAACGTATTTGTTCTTTGAAATTATACAAAAAAACGCCGATAATTTTGGATCGTAGATTATGGAACCGTATACCGTTTTTCAGATCCGATCATTTTCAGAAGTTATTTTCATAGTAAAAAAATTAAATTCTGACAAGGCGAAAAATAAAAAATAAATTTTTTTTTTGCAATCTTTTCCTTCTAAAATAAAGCCTGTTCTTTTGCCGGAAAATCAAGTTACTAACGATGAAAATCGATGGATAACTAAAAAATTTTTGAATGGTCAAAGGAAAAAGCATTAATTTTTGATATGAAATAAAAGCAGAAATTGTGTTAATCATACGCCATATCGTACATGGCGTATGAGTAACATTTTCCATGTTAACGTTTAACGGTGTTTAGAGGCGATCATTTGAATCAAAAGT